GGTCATAAAAAAGAATGAAATAATGCCATTTGCAGCAATATGAATGGAACCTAGAGATTATCATACTAGATGAAGTAAGTCAGAGAGAGGCAAATATTATGTGATATCACTTATATGTGGAATCTAAAAAATATTACCCATGAATTTATTAAAACAGAAACAGACTCACAGACATAGAAAACAAACTTATGATTACCAAAGGGGAAAAGGGGGAGGGAGAAATTAGGAGTTTGGGATTAGCAGATATACTGTATGAAATAGATCAACAACAATGGTCTAATGTACAGCACAGGGAGCTGTAGTCAGTATTTGGTAATAAACCATAGAAAAGAATCTGGAATATATATATGTATATACACACATACATACATACTATATTCTTTTGCTGTACACCTGAGACTAACATAACATTGGAAATCAATTATACTCCAGTAATAATAATAATAAAAGATCTGTGCATGTTACATCTCAATTTTAAAAAAGATGCAATATAAAAAGACCCAGGATGAAAATAAATAAATAAATAAAAAGACCCAGGATGAAGCCTCAAGCTATTCTTACTTATTAAGGGCTGAGACTGTGGCTGACATTTAGATGAAAAGAAAAATACAGGTATCCCTCATCCTCTGAACTCAGGGGCGGGATAGATTTGGATTCCTTTTCTTGAGATGGGCTGTTCTCCCTTGCTGGTCACACTTTCGCTGCTCTCCAAAACTCAGAAACCAAGCAGATTGAGGACGCAGGGCTTCCCTCTATCCGATTTTTGCTCTCCAAACGTAAGGATGAAATTGACTGGAAATGTGAGGATCCCTGCAGAAGCACAAGAGAAGAGGAAGGCAATTCTGCCTCCCGCGGAAGGGCACCTTGTGCTGGGGGAGTAGGGCTCGGAGAGCAGAGCCTGGGAAAGCCGCCCTACTTTGCAGAAGAGAGGTAGAGGATCTGGAACTCCCAGGGGCCTTCCCGGAGGGAGGAAGGAAGAAGAAGCGGAAGAGGGAAGGGGCAAAAATGAGTCAGCTGGCTGGCTGGGGAGGATACTGGCGGCGGGTGGGGTGGGGGGGGGTGAGTAAGGCAGTGAAGAAGTCCCAGGGGGGTGGGGAGGTGGCCAGAGCCCTTGTATGTGTCATGTTCATAACCTTTACTAAGAAAGTTTCTGCATTTAGATGATGTACACTCAGGCCGCCCAATTCAGCAGCTACAAGCCCCTGTGGTGGTTTTGAGTACTTGAATTGAGATGTGTGGTGTGTAAAATACACATGCATGCGTGCTAAGTCGCTTCAGTCGTGTCCTACTCTTTGCCACCCCATGGATTGTAGCCCGCCAGGCTCCTCTGTCCATGGGATTCTCCAGGCAAGAATACTGGAGTGGGTTGCCTTGCCCTCCTCCGGGGGAATCTTCCCCACCCAGGGATCGCACCCTTGTCTCTTGTGTCTTCTGCCTTGGCAGGCAGTTCTTTACCACTGGCGCCACCTGGGAAGCCCTGGGGCTAGAAGTACCTACACTAAGGGACAGGAAACTGGATGACATCTGGGGATCATGGCAGGTAAAGGAAGGAACTAAGAAGTGGAAGGAGCACCGGGAAGGCGACTTCCCTGGTGGTCCAGGGTATGACTCTGTGATTCCAATGCAGGCGGCCCAGGGGTTTGACCCCTGGTCAGGGAACTAAGATCCCACATACCCTGTGGCACAGCCAAAAAAAAAAAAAAAAAATATTAAGGGAAATACCAGGAAAGATGAGGAAGAAGAAGAGAAGAAAAAAGAAAACAGAGAGGAAACAACAGGAGAAGCAGCTCTAGAACTCCACTGTGACTACCACCAGCCAGATGTGATTGACTCTGAATTGAGATAAGAGATGGGCTGTGATTATAAAATCTGAAGCACCACCCTGCCCCCTGCCAAAAAAGTAAAACATCTCAAGGGTTTTTTTGGCCATGCCTTGCAGCTTGTGAGATTTTAGTTCCCTAACCAGGGATCGAATCTGGGACTTTGACAGTGAAAGCACAAAGTCCTAACCACTGGACCGCCAGGGAATTTCTCATCATTAAGTTCGATATTACATACTGAAATGATAATCTACTGGAGCTATTGGGTTAAATACAATGTACCATTCAAATTAGTATCACCTGTTTCTTTTAGTGTGACTCCTGGAGACAATTACATTACATATGTGGATCTACTGTACAGCACAGGGAACTATATTCAGTATCTTGTAATCACCTATAATGGAAAAGAATCTGAAAAGAATATATATTTAATTTATATATATAACTGAATCACTTTGCTATACATCTGAAACACTAAATTTAAAAATGTTTACTTCAATTAAATTTTAAAATGTTTCATTAATGAAAAAAATCATTCATCCACAACTGAAAAAAAGAAAAGAAAATTAGGGACTTCCCTGGCAGTCCAGTGGTTAAGACTTCGCCCTCCTGCATGGGCTGCTGGTTCGTTCCCTGGTCCGGGAGCTATGGTCCCACATGCCTCGTGGCCAAAAAACAAAACTTAAAACAGAAGTGATATTGCAATAAATTCAATAAAGACTATAAAAACGGTCCACATAAAAAAAAAAAATCTTCAAATATATTTAAGTGTGTGTGTGTGTCCCCAGCTCTGCTCTAGAAAAAAACGGCTCGAGGAAATGCCTTGAAATATGAATAAGGATGGGGAAAGGAGAGAGCTTCACTTCTCTTTACTTTTGACTGTGAGCCTTGTGGGATTTTAGTTCCTTCTCAGGGATCGAACCCTGTTTCTGGGTAGTAAGAACACTGAGTCCTAACCACTGGACTGCCATGGAATTCCCAAGATCTTCACCTTTTACGTTATTATTTTTAACAATGTGCAAGTGTTAAGCAAATAAAACCTTTAAACAGAAGCAGGAAAGAGATATGGGAAGGGGAATGTTTGTTCATGAAACTTGGGAATGTGAAGGCAAAAGGTGCCACATACAGAGAAAAGGGGTGTCCTCCAGGCAGGGAGCCCTGGGGAAGGGATTGAGGGGGTCCATCAGGCATCACAGCTAAAGGAAAGGCAGGAGGAAGTGTGTTCCGGAAGGGAGTGTGAGGCTTTGTAGCCCACAGGTTCCTGGGTGTCTTTGAGAACCTTTGTGAAATAGAGAAGTGGCAGCTTGGGGAATCATATGACAATTAGACTCCAGACACAGAGGTAAGGAGTTCTTAGGTGGTCCAGTGGCTAAGACTCTGAGTTCCCAAAACTAGGGGCCTGGGTTCAATCCCTGGTAGGAAACAAGAGCCCATATGCCGCATCTAAGACCCAGTGCAGCCAAATAAATAAATAAATATTTTTTAAAAAATGACAGAGGGGTATAAAAGATCCAGTTACTCTAAGTGGCCCTTCTAGGGGTCAGCAGTGTGGGCCTGAGGGAAGGTGTCTGGAGGGCAGTATGGTGTGTGCGCGTTAGTCGCTCAGTCGTGCCCAACTCTTTGCAGCCCCATGGATTCTATCCTGCCAGGCTTCTCTGTCCGTGCAATTCTCTAGGCACGAATGCTGGAGTTGGTAGCCATCCCCTCCTCCAAGGGACCTTCCCCCGTGGAACTGAACCCAAGTCTCCCGCATTGCAGGCAAACTCTTTACTGTCTGACCACCAGGGAAGCCCGCAGGGCAGTGCAGCTTCTGCCTAACTGGTCCCTCTGATCCCCAGCCCCCTGCATTCTCCACTTGGCAGCCAAGGGGGACATTTACAAACAGAAATCTAATGACATGGCTCCCCTACTTAAAGTCCCCCTTTCCCATGGCTTCTCACTGCCCTTCAAATAAAACCCAACCCTAACCTTAGCCTCAGGGGTCACACCCTGTGTCCTACTCTCATCTACCCTTTAAACTGAGCGGTCCACCCTTCAGCCATGCTCGCCTTCTTGCTGTTCCTTTTTCTTTTTAAAATTCCTTTGCCTTGCTGCCCAGCATGCCAGATCTTAGTTCCCCCAACAGGGATCGAACCCATGCCCCTTGTAGTGGAAGCATGGGGTCTTAACCACTGGACCACCAGGGAAGTCCCCCTGCTGGTCCTCCAATAAGCCAAGACCACTCCCAGCTCAGACCTTCTGCACACCCTGTTCCCTTTGCCTGCAAGGTTCTGCCTTCATGAGTCCACCTGGCTAAGAAGGGGTCCCTCACCTCCTTCTTGGCTCTCCAGAGCCCAGTCACCTCCCCAGAGAGGCCTACCCTTGACGCCCTGGTGAATACACCCCAGGCCAGTCGCATTCTAGCTCACCGTCATATTCTGTAATGATCACGCTGATTTTTCTGCTTGCGTGTTTCTTGTTCATTTCTTGCCTCTAGACTATAAGCTCCCTGGGAGCAGGAGCTGTGATCAAAATGTTTGTTCACTGCCTGGGATGGAGCTGGGACTAAGAAAATAAATGCATGCTGAATGACTAAATCAATGAGGAATAGGGAGAGAGAGCCATTGTGCTCAGCTTTGTTGTAACCTTGGACCACACTTTGGAGCCATAAATTAACTTTTCCCTATGATTTGGGAAACTTATATTAAAAAGAAAAATCCAAGTATTGATTCCAGTGAGTTCAGATCTAATGATGACGATGATAGTAATAATAACAGCAGCAGACACCAACAATGTGTCCCACACTGTTCTAAGTGTTTTGCACGGATTAACTAATAATAACTATTATAACAATTCTTATAAAAAAAAACCTTATGGATGGGTTCTCCCCATTTTACAAAGGAGGAAACTGAGGCTCAGAGAGGTTGAGGAACTTGCCCAAGGTCACACAGCCAAGAAGAGACAAAGCCAGGATCTCAACTCTGGCAGCCTGGCCCCCAAATCCGTAACCACTGGATCCTTGAAAATATCCTAAGGGGCTCATTCCTACCCTCAGTGACCTCTGACCTCCAAGCTGACCCACCCTGGGCTGACCGCTGCGGCTGACAAATGACCCGAACCCCTGGCCAGCTCCGAGCCTTCTCAGGACCCCCAGCAGCCCCAGCCCCGCCCCGCACCTCCCGGCCCCCGGTCTGCGCTGACCCTGCCTTGAGCTGAGTGAGCGCTTCCTCTACGCGGGGCTGGTTGTAGCGCACCATGTAACTGTGCATGTCGGGGTAGTTGCTGCGGATGTTCTTCTCCGTGGACCCGTTGGGCACCGTCCCGAACTTCAGGGGCGGGTACTGCTCCTGGGGCCGCTGGAACTGGGGCAGAATGGGGAGATATTAGAGTGCCCCCCCAGGGGGCATCTGGGTCAAGGATGTCCTTAACCAGCCTCTCCATTCTGGGGGCCACCGGCAGACGCCTCAGTCCAGAAGTGGTTCTCACACTGGCTCACTGTGACCCCCAGCAGGAAGCACTGCTCTTCACCCATCACATACCTTCACAGTTATCAGTACGTGTGCCCATAAGTAGGTATACATACACGTACGCACACACAATCAGGAGTAATATTGAAATATTTAGTCCCCAGTATGGCCCGATCACGGTCCAAGTAGAAAAGACATGGGCAACAAAGGGGCCCCTGATGGGTCAGGCATTAACCCTTAACTTGCTGGATCATGGGAGGTCCCAGGGTAGGGGTTAGCATGGCGCAGGCTAGGGGCAGTTGCTGAGTTACCAATCTGTTCAGACATAGTTCACTATTTTTTTTTTTTTTTTTGGCCTCGCCATATAGTACAAGGGATCTTAGTTCCCTGACCGGGGATCGAACCCACATGCCTGGAAGTGGAAGTGCGGACTCTCAACCCCTGGCCTGCCAGGGAAGTCTCAATAGTGCACTATTTTAACAACACATTAGTGTGCTGGCTCAATGTCGGGTATATATATGACTAAAACAAATGCTCCCTACAACCATACTCACCCTGATTACAGAAAATACAGTCAAACATATATTCTAGTCTATTCCATTCCATTAAAAAAAAAAGTTCGTCATAATTCATGGAGTGGGTCATGACTCCCAGTTAACCACGTGAGTCTCAAACTGCACTGTGCAGACCACCTGTCCCCTGAACAAACTGTGACCCATGGTGAGATAAGTACAGAAACTGAGAGAGTGAGCAATTCAGGTTATCTCAGAGAATAATTTTGTGCCTAAGAAATAAAAATGTGGGGACGGGGGTTCAGGATGGGGAACACATGTACACCCATGGCTGATTCATGTCAATGTATGGCAAAAACCACTACAATATTGTTAAGGAATTAGCCTCCAATTAAAAAAAAATATATGGAACACTTTAAAAAAAAGAAAAGAAATAAAAATGTGGGTTGGAATTTTGCACATATTGGTTTTAAATTTTATTTTACTTTTCCAGTCATTCCTTTCTATTTTATTTTATATAAGAGTCAGTCTCTACTGGATTACAAATGTCAAAAATTAGCCCTTCATTACAGTTTGAGAGAAGCACTGATCTAGAATATTCATCGTGGCACTATGGCCCCTAGAATATTTGGGGACACTCTTTTCTCCTTAGAATATTTAAACAGTTCATTGTGAAACATAACCTTTTCCCTCCAGAACATTCCATTCTAGTACTCTGGAACTCTTTCTGGGGAAAAAAACCCTAGGAATACCTACTGCACCCCTCATCTGCCACCTCCAACCCCAGCCCATTCCCTCCCTCCCCAAACACACACACCTTTCGGTCACTGAGCCCAGACACGGTGTCCACGTACTCCTCCTGGATCATGAAGGCGGCCAGGTTGGCTGTGTAGCTGGCGAGGAAGATGACGGCGAAGAAGGCCCACACCAACACCATGATTTTGCTGGTGGTCCCCCGGGGGTTCTCCACAGGCACCGAGTTATTGAACACCAGGGCCCAGAGCAGCCAGATGGATTTCCCAATGGTGAAGGTTGAGCCACCAGGGCCTGCAGGGGGCCAGGAGGGGGACATGGACCCCATATCACTTCTGCTCAATGAGGGAGAGCAGAGAGGACTACAATTCCCAGTGGCCCCTGAGGCCTGTGCTGCCTCAGGAGACCACAGCTCTTTCCCAGGGCCTGTTGGGAAATGTAGTTCTATCTGTGGTCCAGGCACACTGGAGTAGGGTGATGGAAGAAGGGGACTCACGTTTGCCCGTGGCCAGGCTGCGGTTGTAGCCGACGGGACTGAGGTACTCGAAGATGAAAACAGTGACCGCGACCACAGTGAGGCACATGACGAACATCATCACCCACACGGCAGGGCTGTATGGCTCTGAGGGCAAGGGGGTGTGTGGTCATGATTCATTCAAGCCAAGGCTTGGGTGTCCACAGACATGTGACCCCGTCCTACTCTGCCCCCTTCTCAGGGACAGACTCATTGCCCACCAGACCCCTGGGGAGAGTGGGGGTGGGGGGGTCAGGGGGAGGACAGTCTCTTCCAAAGACAGTCATCTCAACCATTTCTGTGATTTCAATCGCCAAATACAAACTGTCTCCTAAATACGTTTCCTGAACCCCAGACCTGATTCTCCACCCACCCCCGGCAATCGCCCCAGGCCATTCATGTCCCACGCTGAGCCCAGCACCGACTCCCACTACCTATTCTGGGAGTTTCACCATTCATCCAGACCCTCCTCCCCTATTTGCCATCCTCTCTCCCTCTTCGCTCCTCCTCCCCAGCATCCCATCAGTCCCCAGCTCCCTTCTCCTGTCCTCCCTCTATCCCTACTCGCCACCTGGACCTTTCTTCTCCATTCTCTCTGTCAACAAGGCTCAGGCACACCCAGTCCCCTGGACCATCTCCCCATCCTCTCCCCTCCAGCCCTTCCTTCCACTATGGCCCTAAGAGGCTCTCTCTACACCCAGAGATGAGCTCTCCTCAACTCACAGTCCTCTGCAGCTCCCCTGCGCCCCCAGAATAAAGCCCCTGCCCCTCAGCCTTGCTTCCACTCTCCTCTCTGGACTGATCATTGTCTCAAGAACCCATTTCTTTAACCACCCAGAACCCACAGTTCCCCAAATGAGCCACATCTTCTCTGCCTCTTTCTCAATAGCTCCCCTGCCAGAGGCCCCACCCTGACCTGTCTATCAGCCAAACTCCTCACACTGCCTTCAGGAGCTCACTGACAACAAACCCAAATCACCGTTTCCTTGAGATCAGTCCCGGGGATTTGACCTCACTGGGCCAAGTGCCAGCAGCCAGGACTGCCCCCATCACAGCAGGGTCACCAGCCTGGACTGCCACTGCAGTATCTGGGGATCTGCCTGTCACCTCCACCAGGCCACGTGGTGGGGCATGAACATGACCTTGTCACTCCCTTGCTGAAGGCAGGGGCCCCACGTGGTGCCTCTCAGGGTGCCCTGCCGAGACCTCGGTGCAAAGAGGAGGCCACAAGAGACACCACTGGGAAAATAGATGGAAAACAAAACACCAGGGAAGGGCTGTCCCTTCTCCTCCAAGCCCTTCCCCCTCCCAGGAGCTTTGCTTAGATTTCAGAGAGCAAGAGGGAACGAATGGATGTGAACCACTGCCCTTGGCCTCTCTTTTGTCCAAGCTCAGCAAATAAGCTTGCTCCTCAGTCTACCTCAAAGCCACCAGCCCATCGCATCCTAAGCCTGTTTACTTGTCTCACCCTCTCGGTCACCTTCCTGTCCCACACCCCAGCCTCTCTCCGCACTGACCTCTGCAGTAGCCTCCTCACGGGCCTCCTGCCTCTGCAGAGCCGCCAGTGGGATATTTTAAAAGCCTAAATCTGATCGTATATCCCCACACCACCTCCTGCAGTTAAAAACCTTGCCATTGCAAACAAAACAAAACAAAACAAAAACAGCCTTCCTACTGTAGGGACCATCTGCACAATCCACCATCCAATTCCATCTCAGTCCTCACCTCCCACCCCTCCCATGATCACTCACTGCCCCCTCCCCAATTCACACAGGCTTTTCCTGATAGTTCACAAATAACCCCATGAACATTCCCACCTTGGGGCCTTTGCCCTTACTGTTCCCTCTGCCTGTGACACTTTTCCAGCCAGATCTATGCAGGACCAGATCACCTGCTCAGACGGGCCTGCCTCTCCACCCAGGGCATCATCAACACTGTTTCTCTCCATCTCTTCCCCTGGCTTAATTTCTCATAGTATTTACCACCATCTGAAGTGATCTGGTCTATGTTTCCCTTTAAGAGATTGTTTTTGGTCTTCCCTGTGAGACTGGTGCATAGCTCTTAGAGGGCAGACTTTTGTGTGCAGCCCAAAGTCTGGCACATAGTAGCTGCTCAGTAAACACTGTTTGACAAGGCACGTGCTCATCTCTTTTTCTCATCTTATACTTATATACAGGGGAAGATGGGTTTTGCAGGGCCTGTTGCTTACAAAATTTGGAGGATTCTCTTTAAGAAAAAAGTACACACGATTATGAGGACAAGACCGGGTACAGGGCTTTGAAGGGGTTGTGTAGGAGAAGACTCCTGAAGCTCAGACTTTCTTAGATGTATGGGAAAATTGCTTCTGGTTGGGGAGACTCTCCTATTTTACAGATCAGGGAACTGAGGCCCTCGGTTCACCTGAGTCACCCTGCTGGTACAAGCAATAGCAAGATGAGAATTAGACACACAGCGGCTCCGCCCCACTCCTGACTCGTCGTTCCAGAGCCCCTGCTCACCGAGGAAGGCTGAGGGCGACACTGTGCCATTGCTCCGCGCCACCATGACGCTGATGCCGGTCTCTACGAAGGGCACAGAGAAATCCACGATTTCGGACCGCTCCTCGTTGATGGTGAGGGAGCCAATGGCCATGTCTGCGCGCTGGTAGAACACCTGAGGGTGAGGACGGGGAAGGAGTGAGGGAAGCCGGTGGCTCTGGACAAAGACAGGTCCCAGGAGGAGACTAGGGTGAGAGGGCTAGGAGGGGAGCGGGGTGGATGAGGGGGATGCAGGCAGAGTCGGGCAGGGAAGGCGGAGGTGAGAGAACAAGAGTGGGAAGAAGTGGCCTCCATCTTCATCCTCCTGCCCCACCAAGCCCCAGGAGGTTTGGGGGCTCCATCCTCCTGGCCCCGCCCCCTTTCCCTAGTCTCTAAGGTCCCACTCTCCGAGCCCCGCCTCCTCCGCCCCAAGGTCCCTCCTCCTGGCCCCGCCCCTCCACCGAGGTGGGCCTTTCTCGTGGCTCCGCCTCTTCAAATCCAGGCGTGGCCGCTTTGGCCACGCCCCCAGACCGCAGCGTGCCCTCTTAGTCCCGCCCGTCTCTCGGAGACACTGCTCCTGGTCCCCGCCTCCCGGTTCCGACCCCCCGACCCAGCAGCTCCTCGGCCGGGACCTGGTCCTAACTCCGCTCCCCACCTGCCCCGTCTCGGTCCCCGCCCTGTCCCCGCCCACCTCACCTCCCCGATCATGCCGTTCCAGACGCCGTCTATCTTTTTGCCGTGCTTGCCGTTGGTGACCAGGTAGAGGTCGTAACTGAAGCCGATGGTCTGCGCCAGCCGCTTCAGAATGTCGATGCAGAAACCCTTGCAGCAGCGCTTTTCCGGGCGGGGGGCGTCGGGCGGAGGGCTGCGGGGGGCGATCAGGCTCGGGAACATTGGGGACACCCCCACCCCCACCCCACACCTTAAGGAGAGGGGGACGAGCAGCAGCTAAAACGATGGTGGGCGTCGCTTTCTGGGAAAACTGAGACTCCAAGGAATTACGTGACTTGTCCAAGGTCACCCAGCTAGAAGGCTTTCCGGGTCCCAAGGGAGGTGGGGTGGGGTGGGGCGGGGCAGGACTATAGGAGACTGCAGGGGAGGGTTTTGAAACGGGAACTCCTGGATCCCAGGCTGTCACCTGTGGGTGCGGTTGAGCTGGCTCCGGCAGGGCACAGAGTCTCGGATGCAAGTGCCACTGATGGGGTCGGCGGGCTCCACGATGACGAAGGGCCGCTCTTCCAGCGTGGCCACCGTGAGGTGCTGCGTATCATCCACTGGCTGTAGGAAGCGGCCATAGCGCGACCACAGCGGGTACTTGAGGCGGAGAGTCTGCTGCTCCCAGCTGCCCACCTTGGCCAAGAGCAGGGGATTCAGGCTTCCTGAGGGGGAACTTTCCAGAATGTTCTGGCCTTCCTGGCCCTCTTTCCTCAGAGCTCTGGGCTCCCAGCTCCTTCTCCCTCAGATCCAGGAGTCTGGAACACCCCCCACCCCGCCCCCCGCCCACCATCTCTCCCCAGGACCTGGAAACCCTTCAGGCCCAGGATGCTGGGCTTTCTTCTACCAGGACCCCAGGGGTCTGGGTTCCCAGTTCTTTCCTTGACCACCTGGAATCTCAGGCTCTCAGCCCTTTCCTCCCTCAGAGGCCAGAGCCCAGGGCCTCAGCCACCACCTCTGCCAGAAGTCTGGATCCTCATTGCTTCTTCCCCAGGACCCAGGAGTCCCGCTCCTCGCCTGTGCCTGAGGTCAGCACTGGGACTCACCACCTCCCACGTCCTGTCTCGGGTAAGGGAGATGACCACCAGGGAGGGGTTCACAAGGAAGCCGTCCTCATTGAAGGAGTAGTCCCGGTTGTCCCAGGTGATATTCATGAAGTACCTGCCCAGGAGGAAGGGAGGGGACGTTTGGGGCCCTGGACTGGACCTTGGCACCTGAAGGCAGAGAAAGTCCCCTTGCTACTGACCAACCCCACTCCCCAGTTCGAATCTCTCTTCCAAGTTCTTGAAGACCCAAATATGCCCCTTCTTCACCAGGCACTCTCCTCCGGCAGCCTGGTCCCAGACCCTTAGCCTGGGTTTGGTGATCTCAGGGCTCCACCTGCCTCTCAGCCCCATCTCTGATCACTTCCCACGGTCACTCTTTCCACCCAAACCCTTTCCCTGCCCCACCACACTGTATGTGGGGTGTCCTCCAAACACCTCAAGTGGTTTCCTAGCTCTAGGTCTTTGTAGGTGCTTTTCTTTCTGCCTTCCCTAGCTCAGTTGGTAAACAATCTGCCTGTAGTTCAGGAGACCGGGGTTCGATCCCTGGGTTGGGAAGATCTCCTTGGAGAAGGAAATGGCAAACCTCTACAGTATCCTTGCCTGGAAAATCCCATGGACAGAGGAGCCTGGTGGGCTACAGTCCATGGGGTCCAAAGAGTTGGGCACAACTGACACATTCACTTTTTCTCTCTGTCTAGGAAAAAACCCTTGGAAAAAGGAAAAAGACTCCAAGCTTCCACTGCAGGGGGTGAGGGTTCAATCCTTGGTCAGGGAAGTTCCAAATGCTGGGCAGTGCAGCCAAAAGGAAAAAAAAACAAAAAACAAAAAACCCTTATTCTCTTCTCATCCTGACTAGTTCTTAGGTGTTCAAGACTCAGCTCACGTGTACCTTCTGGACAGAAGCCCTGGGAGGGGCTCTGGACTCCCAAGTATCTTTACTATACAGCGGCAGTCTGTACTCTGAATGCTTGTCACATCACCCTGGTCACTGGACCAGACCCTCAGCTGCCATCCTCACCCCCCCACTCCCCCTCCCTCACCCCCATGCAGGGCATCAGTCCTCAAACTCCATCCTTCCTGCCCCAGGGATATCTCTGCCCCAGCCCTCCTCTGTGCCTACAACCCTCCAAGACCCCACCCCAGCCTCCTACTTTGCCTCTAGCCTCCAATCTTTCTCCTCCAATCGGAACCCACCCCAGAGGGGTCTGTCTACACCCCAAACTGACTCCACTCTTTCCTGCTCAGAGCCCACTCATAGCTCCTGAATGCCCTAGAATAAAGTTTGAACCTCTCAACCTGGCATTCAAGACCCTTGTAGGGATTTCCCTGATGGCCCAGTGGCTAAGACTCTGCTCTCCCAATGCAGGGGGCCGAGATTCGATCACTGGTCAGGGAACTAAGATCCCACTTGCTGCAACGAAGACCTGGCACAGCCAAATAAATTTTCTTTTTTTAAAAAAAAGGCCCTTGTGACCTGCCCCCCCTTCACTTAACCAGCCTCATCACCCCCAACATCTACATTCGCCTGCCTTTATCCACCCTGAGCTATTATGGTCCCACCAACCTGCCCCAAGTTTTTCTCCCCTCTGGTCCTTTGCACAATGCTCTTTTCCCTCCCTGAATTATCTATTTCTGGTGGACTCCCAATTGCCTTTGAAGTCAAATCTAAATCCCTAACCTGGCCTAAATGCCCTACCTACGCTGGGCCGCGTGTCACTCCATCATATTCTGCCCGCTTGCCCACTGTGCTCCAGACACATTGGCTTTATTTCAGGCATTTCCAGCCCCAGGGCCCTTAAACCTTCTGTTCCCTCTCCCTTCTCTTCACTCGGATCTTCCAATAGTTGGCTGTCTCTCTCTGTCTACCTTTTTGTCTCTGGCTGTGCTGCTCAGCTTGTAGGATTTTAGTTCCTCAACCAGGGACTGAACCCAGGTCCTTCGCAGTGATATCATGGAGTCCTAACCACTGGACCACCAGGGAATTCCCTTGGCTCTTTCTCTTTATCCATTTTTTTTTTTTAACCTCCAAATTTCCTCTGCTCAGAATGGCCTTTCCTGACGACCTCGTCTAACCTAGCACCATAGGCATTTCTCATTACATTCTGCCTGCTTTATTTTCATCTCAGAAGTTATTACCCATTGATGTTTTTCTCCTTTCTTTCCTGTCCACTGATTGTCTCGCCTATGAGACTGTGAGCTCTGTGAGAGCAGAGGCCTTGTTCAACATTATACTCTGTGCATAAAGCAGGGCTTGGCACATCGCAGATTCTCGATAAAGGGCTTTTCAGCGAATGAATGAATGAGCAATTTATTCTTCGGGTCTCAACTTAGATACCACCTCCTCCTGGAAACTTCCCTGAACCCACAGGCTGACCCATAACTTGTGTAGCCTAGTCTGGAATGTTGACTGGAGCCAACCCAATTCCTCTCCTGGGAGAAAGGTAGCTGTGAGATTTGGAGGGATGGGTGGTAGACAGGGCTTCCCAGGTGGTGCTAGTGGTAAGAATCAGCCTGTCAATGCAGGAGACGTAAGAGACACAGGTTCAATCCCTGGGTCAGGAAGATCTGGAGGAACGCATGGAAACCTGCTCCAGTATCCTTGCCTGTCCATGGGATCGCAAAGAGTTGGACATGCCTGAAAGGACTTAGCACACACACACATGGCAGACACGATGGGCTGAAATGATGAGTATCATGAGGGAACAGAAATTCTGGGTCATCAGAAGAACTGGACAGGGAGAAGAACTGCCCCCTGGGAGACAAGGTAGAGAAAGAGATGGAGATGTTGATGAAGATGGAGACAGTGATAGACAGGGGGAGGGAAAAGAGAGAGAGAGAGAAAGAATCAGAAATAATTGAAAGAGTAGCTAGAATTGAGGAATTGGCCTCAAATTCCTGATGTCTGAGTTTCTGTGTGTGTTTATCTTTTCCAATAAACCCCATTTTCCCCGAGGAAACTTGAATGAGACTCTGCTTCCTGCGACCCAAAATGTTCTGGCTTAGCAGTTCCTCCATGGTGCTCCCACAAAGCCCATGCAACCTCCATTATTGCAAGTATCATGCTGTGTTGTCATTATGCCGTCCCTGTCTGCTACCCCTACAGGACCCTGTGTTCTTTGAAGAGAAGTCCACGGTCTTATTCATCTCTGCATTCCCAGGTCCCAGCAGGAGCCCTAGTTCTTAGCGGGCGCTCAGTAAGTATTTATGAACGAGGGAGGCTTCTCTCATCATCTGGTCCCTGGATCCTGATTCCCAAATCACCACTTCTCAATTCTCCTCCCTTAGGCTTTCTTCCCCACCCGTCACCTCTTCCCAAACTCAGCTCATCCTCATTTCAGTATCCAAGGCCTCTCTTTCCACTGCTCTGTCACCAAACTCCCAAAGCTTCCTAGGGTCGAGATGCTGTTTCTCACCAAACCCTGGTCCCCTCATCTAAAAGAGTAGTGTGAACAAATAAAATAATTTAAAACAGTAGTGTGTCAGTTGGGTACACCCCTGTCCAGCTAGAATCAACATTCCCCATATTCCCTGATATTCCTTGCAGCTAACCCAGGCCATGGGCAGGTGATATTCAAACTCTAACAATCAGTGTGGCACAGACATCAGCCAAACAGAATCGGTGTCTAGCCAATCTGCATGGATGTGGCTACAACCAGTAATTCATGCCCCTGCCAAGTGACTTACGTTCTCATGAATGGGAAGTAAGACTCATCCCATCTGCCTCACTGGACTAAAGGAAATGGCTTGTTCTCCACCTTCTCTCTTTCCCCCTTTTCATGAGCTAGAACTCAGACATGCCCTTTGACACAGCTTCCACCATATGGGAAGATGACAGAGCAACAAGGTGGGAGGGTCCTGGGCCCTTGAATGACCACATGGAATGATGGAGTCTCCTGATAACCTGGACCATGGATCTCTGGGTTGTTAAGTGAGAGACCTCTCTACCTTGGAGACATTGCATTGTTGGGTCTTTTGGTTACTGAAGTTCAGCTCCTACACTAACTAGGGTGGTGATGGTGGTTTAGTCACTAAGTCACGTCTGACTTTTTGGAACCCGTTTATGACTTGCCAGGCTCTTCTGTCCATGGGATTTCCCAGGCAAGAATATTGGAGTGGTTGCCATTTCCTACTCCAGGGAACCTTCCCGACCCAGGGGTCGAACCTGCATTTCCTGCATTGCAGGTGGATTCTTTACTGACTGAGCCACCAGGAAAGCCCCCCAACTAGGTATTTCACCGAATCTAAGATGCTATCAACTAGATGTATTGCTATTTTTACAACAATGAAGGGGGAAAAAAAAGCACTGCCCATGAAATCATGATAAGCAATAACTGTTAAGACATGTCTTGATTTCAAAGACATTAAAACTGTGCAAAAATGCACATGCTAAAATCATGAAATACAGTAATCCTCTCCCGGTATCTCAGGTGTTTTTTTCCAAATCACTTGATTTAATCCCAGAAAGGAGAGCCAATAATTTCACTTATTTTATAGAAAAGGAGACTGAAGTTCTGAGAGGCAAGGTGACCCATTTGAGGTCATCGAGTACCCCAGGTGATCTGGCTCAGGAATTCTCCCACAGCCCTCCCAGCCCAGCCCCACTCACCTGTGTAGACTCTCCCCTCGATGGGTGCGGTTCTGGGCGCGACAGTCATGGCCAAGTTCAGGCAGGAAGCCATAGTCACGCAGCAAGGCCTGGGCACCTCTGGCCACGACGGCCACACCAGCTGCCACACGCCGGGCCAGGTCATCCCGCCAGCCTGCCGAGCGCACTGCAAACAGCCCAGCAGGCAGTGGGGCGCCTCCTGGCAGAAGAGGTGGCTCCCCGGGGGCACCTGAGCCCCCGCCTCCAGCCAGCTGGGGCCCCACCATAAACCAGACGTAGCCAGGCCCAGTGAGGCCAGCCTCCTCGGCTGCCCGGAACACGGGCTCGGCCTCCTCACGGGCACAGAAGAGCAGGCGGATCTGGGCACTGACACTGCGGAGCTGGGCTCCCAGCACGGCCTCGCCAGCCCCAGGGTCCAGCGTCAATGCCCCACGGTGCTCCCAGCCCACCAGGCTGCCATCAGTGAGCACCTCGATGTAGGACAGGAAGGCCCGGTGGCCAGGGGCACGCGTGGTGACGGCTACAAAGGACGTCCAGTCGTATTCCTCCAGCACCTCGAAGATGACCTGAAGCTGCTGCTCGGTGGACGAGCCCAGCTGCAGGAAGGTGGAACCTTTCTCCTGCAGGGGAGGAGGAGGATGTTAGGCCTCCTCCATGTGGAGATCTCAGCTCCCAGCTGCTGATCTTCAGAAGCCAGTGAGGGGCTCACAGCTCCCAGGGATCCAGAGGGGACCTGTCTCCCAACAGTGGATAAGGGCATCACAGCTCTCAACATCTAGCTGTTTGCCAAACCCATCTTCTTTCCTTGCTTGGGGCAAAAAGCTAGACCTGGCTTAGGTTTAGCCTCAGGACTGAGTTCTAGGCTCATCCATAAAAACCTCTCTGCCCATGCACTTTACTCCTCCCTGTCCGAGGGCAGATGCAGAGGCCCCCGAGGAGGAATCTAGGGGAATACAATGCCACAGCATGGAGGAAACTGAGTCCCTTAGTCAGAGTTTGGAGGAGAGCCAACTCCAATCAGGAACACCTGTTTGGATTTTATATGAGTGAGGAACAACCTTCTATTGAGTTAAGCCACTGAGAAGTCAGTGGGTTTACCTGTTACAGCAGCTAACATAATCCTAGTGAACACAGGGAGCAACCTGGGAGAGAACTACAGTTCTCAGCATCCACTGAGAGGGACTGCATCTCCCAACAGGCCATGAGGGTGCTGAAGGTAGCCTCTCCCAACTGGAAGAAGCTTTGCTGAGTAGGCTTGCCCTTCTCTGCTTTTTTTCCCATCTTCCTATCCCCTCCTTCCCGTTTCCTTTGCTAGACTCTCTTCCTCCATCAGAATTCTAAACATAGGAGTGCCCTCATCTACTCTTTCCTTCTCTGTCCTCTCTTCCTGGTGATCTCATCCAAACCCATGGGTTTAAATATTGTCTCCTGTGGTCTCTAGTATGGTAGCTACTAGCCACCCATGACTATTCAAGTGAAATCAAAGTTAAATAAAATTTTGTTCCTTGGTTATACTAACCACACATCAAGTGCACAACAGCTCACATGGCTAGTGGCTATCATATTTGACAAGAGTAGATGAAGACTACTTTCATCATTTCAGCAGAAAATCCTGTTGGACAGCCCTTGGGCCCACATCCAGGCCATCTCCAAGTCTTCTCATTTCTCTGTTCAAAACATGACTGCAGTTGTTCATTCTTCACTATGGCCCCTGTCATGACCCTCACCGCTTCCACTCTCTTGCCTAGATGACAACAGCTTCCTAACCCATCTCTACTACCTTTCTCGAACCTTTCATTCTCCAGACAGCAGCCAGAGTGATCTTTTCAAAATATTAATTGGATCGCCTCCCTTCTTGGTTGAAAACCTTCCAAAAATTCTATGTCAGAGTCAAAGCCAAAGTCCTCGCTGTGGCTCACAAAGCCCCACATGACCTGGTCCCTGTGGCCTCTTTGACCTCATGTCCCGCCAGCCCCACCTCTTTGCTCTTCCTCAAACACCTCAGGTTCCTTCTAGACTCAAAGGCTTTGCCCTTCACTGTCACCTTTCTCAGGGACACTTTTCCCCCCAGCTCCTTCCCCTCCTCCGTCCTCAGGTCCAGCTCAGTTTTACCTCCTCAGGAAGCCTCCCCTGACCACCGTCTACTGAAGCCACAGACTTGGTCGTTACCTCTCCTCCAGGACAGATTTCACTGTCTGTTATTTATTTTGTCTGTCTCCTCATTAGAAATGCAAGCTTCGTAAAAGCGGAGACTCTTTTTTTTTTTTTTTAACCTTCCCTAACTGTATTCCCCAGAACCCTGGCACAGAATCAGTCTTCAATAAATCTTCCAGTAATGCAATGAGACGAGCAGGTGGACTTTTTCCCTAGGCTTATGCCTGTGGTTAAATGTGCACGGGTTAGGGCACTTGTCCTGAGGGTATGAGGTTTCCCAGAATGCTATGAGACCCTGTGAGGCCCTCATCCTTCGCAGTTTGAATGTGTATTCAGGGGACCACGTTCCCAGCATTCAGTGGGGGCACAGATAGAGCTGTGAGGACCACTCTAAGACACTAAAAGGACTACATTTCCCAGAAGGCAACGGGTATGCACTCAATGGGCTACAGTGCCCAGCAGACAATGAAATGGAGGGGCACACACTTCTCAGCCGCCATTGAGGCAGGAGAGACCACATCTCTCCGTATGCCAAGGAGGCGGCAGCCAGGAAGTAGTAAGTTCACCTCGCAGGTGATCTGCCTACAGTTCTCTGGACAACCCCATGCCAAAGAGAAGAAGAAAGTTGGACAGAGGTCTTTCCCAGAGTGCTCGGGACAGAAGAGAACTACGAGTCCCGGCATGCAATACAGATCTAGTCACAAAGCCGCCGGCCCTCACAGCAGGGAATTGGTGGAGACTTAGGCTCCACCCACTCAGGTGGCCCCATCCTCAGGCGATACCCACTTCTCAGTTACACTGGCTCCACCCCTGAATAGGCCCCGCCTCTTCTCAGACGCCTCCTCTAAACTGACCCGGTTCTTCTCAGTCCGCACACCAGGCTTGTTCAAATCATGCCTTCCCTACCAGAAGTCCACTCCAGCTGACCCCTCCTGTGCCCTCGGGAGGCAGGCCTCTCTCCACGCCACAGCCAGCTCCAGCCTCTGCCCCTGCCTTCCCTGCAGGCTCCTGGCTTTGACCTCTCAATGGCTGAGCCTGCCTCTAAGGGGGAGGCCTTCATCTTTCCAGGCCCACTCTCTGGATTCTCGCTTTCCACGCCTTCCAGCTGGGTACCTCCCCTGCCCAAATCCCACCCCCAGACCGTCTTCCTCTCTAGACTCTGCCCCTTTAGTACCGAGCAGAGGGCCTGTCCTCCCTGGCCTCCCCCATCACCAGCTAGCCCCGCCCCTTCCTTGACTCACTTCTTCCTTAACTGGCCTTCCCCTACTTCCTAGCTCCAAGGCTACCCCTCTCTCGCTCACTCACTTAAGGACGCCTCCCTTTCTCATACTCATCCTTCCACCAGATGATTCCGTCCTTCTACGTTGACCTCTAGACCTCGTGCTCAGCTGGCCGGGCCCCTCCCTGTCCCTCAGTACTTAATACTCCTTTTTCCTGGTCACCGTCTCTGACTTTCTGGCTCCTGCTTACTCTCTAGCTTTGACCCCTTTTTGAGCCCAATTTCTTTTCAGTTGACACCCCCTCGCTGATCCTAGAGCCCACCCCTCACTCAGAACTTGCTATCTCAGGCAGGCCCCCACCCGGTCCTCGCCCCTCGCTGGCCGGCCTCCGCCTCTTCCTCGGATGACACCCCCTCCCGATTCACCGCTTCCTCAACCTCTCAACTCTTTCCATAGCCTGGTCACCTCAGACCCTGCTTCTAGATAATTCCCCAGCACACTCAGTTCCTCCTATAGATCACGTCCCTCCAAGTCAGCCCCACCCGTTACCTAGACCTGACCTTTAACCCCGGCACCTCCTCCGGGAACGGGCTGGCGCAGGCCAGCGCCAGCAGCAGCAACATCTTAGCGGGGCCCCGAGGGCCGCGGGGGCCACCGGCGCCGCGCATCGCCTGCGGGCCCTGCCGGGCGGCCTCTAAGCGCGAGGGCGCCCGGGGAGGGACACGGGGGAGGACACGCGGAGCAGAGAGAGGGACAGGAATGAGAGACAAGAGATAGAACGACAGAGACAAGGAGAGATACACGGTGAAGGGGAGATACGAGGAAGGAGAGACGCGGAGATAGGAGAAAGGTTGTAGTAATAGAGGGAGAGACACAGGGAAATACGGAGGCAAAGGGAGAGATACAGAAGCGAAGGGAGAAACACAGGGAGAATGGGTAATGGGGTCACAAAAGATAGCGAGGTGGGGAGAAGAGACAGACAAGGGAGGACAATGAGACAGGCCAGATGGGAAAGAGACCCGCAGAGACGGGATCAGAACAGGAGCAGAGAGAGAGAGAGACCCAGGAAGATAGGAAGAGATGAAAACACCCACAGAGAGATGGTCAGGGAGAGAGTTGATGGGATGGAGGAAAGAGATGGAAGGAGAAACAGACAGGGACAGATAGGCTCAGGGTAACAGAGCGAGAGATAAGACGGGTGACAGAAATAGGGAGGGAATGAGAGAGGCGGGAGAGATGCAGAGATAGAGGAAGGAAGGTGGGAGAGAGGAGAGAAACCCGAAAGTTGGACCAAGAGAGGAAGGTGGAAAGAAACCCCAGGAAGATGGAGACAGAGACCCCACAGCCACCACAAGACACGCACCCACAAGAGATGAAGAAACAGGCAGAATTAGAGATTGAAGAGGCAGGCAGAGCAGAGAGAAAACACAGGAAGACAGAAATAGCGAGGCAAGGCAGAGATCAAGACCCCCACCAGGGAGGTGCCCAGCACAGACATGAAAGGAAGGCCGGGAAGGCGAGTGGCAGGAGGGATCAAAAATAAAAGGAAGAAAAAGTGAGGGGAACAAAAAAAGAGAGAGAGAAAGGGAAAGGGGGTCAGGTGTGTGGGGGGAGAGAGAGAGAGAGAGAAAGAAATTAGTGGGCCATCCTGCAGGGAGCAAATGCCTCTATGACCGTACCCCTCCCCTGGAATACAAACCCCCCAACCCATCTTCATCCCCTTACCCCTGCCCCCGTCCTTCCACTCTCAATAAGAGCTGGAAAGAGTCACAGTCCAGACGGCTCTGGGGTTGGGGGGAGCACAGCTGTGGCGAGCTGGGAGGGGTGGGGGTCCCTGGCTCCCAGCCCAGAGCAATTTGGTAAATGAGAAGCAATACAGCATCTCTTCCTATGTCCCCTGTTGAATACTAGCTGCCTGGGGTGGTCGGGCTGGGAGCCCAGACTCCTGGCTCCTGGGTCTTGAGGAAGGAGGGCCCTGGGGGCCTGGCCTCTGGTTCCCAGAGAGGGATTGGAGTCTGCAGAAGGGGCTTCTGGAAGGGGTGAGGGTCCAGACAAGGAAAGGCTCGCTCTTAACTGTCAATCAGCCTCCTGTCCGGTTGCCATGGTAGCGCAGAGCCTCCATCCACCCCACAGACAGCCAGGGGTAGGGGAAAGGCCCACACCCCTTTGCCTGCCTAGAGGCCTCACTCCCAGCCCCCTCCCACCCCCAGGTCTTCCCAGGGACCCTGGGGCACAGTCTCCCAAGGGGTGGGGGTGGGGGCTCCTAGCATGCTTCAATCCTGGCTCCCCCTCGCCCCTCCTCTCCTCTGCCCTTCCCCAAGCAGCTGGTTCAATCAGTGCTCAGAATAGCCCCCCTCTGCCCCAAAATAACCCACAGCTGTGGCCTGGCGCTCCCCCCTCCCCAGGATAACACTCGCTCTCCCCTCCCTTCCTGGTGGCCGCTCACCCCTCAGCCTCTTCTCTGCCTCTCTGAGACTCACCCCTACCTGGCCTCTGGCCTTGGGGACCCTGGGGTCCTGCTCCTTGGCTGAAGCGCAAGAGGGCAGCTCCTGCCCCACCCTTCTCAAGAGGCTGGATGCCCAGTTCTCTCTGGTGAGGGATTCAGGAGGACAGTCTCCCACCCCTCTGGAGGTGGACAGAGAGGTGGTAGCCCCAGCCGCTGGGGGACTCTGGCTTTCCAAACCCCAAACCTGCACCCTCGGGGATCACATTATTCAGGCCTCCAATTGCCACCTCCTCGTGAGTCTCAGTCCCCATTTCCATCCGCACAGGGCCAAAGAGTCCAGACCCTCATCCTCTGCCCTGTCAAGGGGCTCAGGACACTGCACCTCCAGCCCCCTCTTCCCTCAGACACAGAAGCCCCATCCTCCCAACTTCTCCCATCGATTCGGGAGTCCTGGCTCTCGGGCCTCTTCTTTCCCCTGGACCCACCCGGGACTGTGGGTGCTCAGCCCCGTCCTTTCCCAGGACCCAGGAGTGCCGGCTCTCTCCTGCCCCCAGACTCAGGAATCCAGGGGCCCAGCCTCCTTTACGCCCAGGACCCAGGAATCCAGGCCCGTAGCCCTCTCCTCCCTTGAGGACCCCTTGTGGTCTCAAACCCCATTCGTCCAGTATCCTGGGCAACCCCCGCCCCAGCTCCAGCCTCTCCAAGTCGCCCCACTCAGGTCCTGTGCACAGTACAGTCTGTCCCCCAGCTGAGGAGGAGGGTGCCAGAGATTCCTGGGGTGTCCCTGTCTCCATCACTCCCCCCAGATCCATCACAGAAGAGAGGAGAGGATTCGCATCGTGCTGCGGACGGCTCCCGCTCCCCCCCAACCCCATTCTCTCCCCACCCTAATCCTGGTGCTTGGAAGAGGCTAGAAGGGTATTCCAGAACCTTGAGGAAGGGATGGGAGCTTGGGACGAGGGGTGCCAAGGCCTGGATACTCTCAAGGTCTTTGGCAGGGGTATTAATAGCCGACTGGCAGCTGAGGAGGGAGGGGAGATGGAGCTGGAGAGAGGGAGGAGGACGGGCTGAGGGGGGAGGCTGATGCGGGCAGTGGGGTGGGGGACGGCTCAGAGAGGGAAGGTGAGAGGGAGAGATGGGGGATAGAGAGACAGGGTGTCAGGTGTATGGGGCTGGAGAGAAGGATCAAAGTGTCAGCAATGGGGGGGTTAGGAGATCTGGGGTGCAGAGATCTGGGAAAAGGGCTCAGCGAGGGAGAAGCAGATAGGGGGCAGAGATTTCCCCCAGGGACCCCTGTCCACCATTCCAACCCTCTCCCTCCAACTGAGGCCCCTTGCCAACTTTCCCTGTCCTAAATCTGGGGCGGGGTGGGGGGCGACCCACGTTCCCACCCCCTCCCCTGCAGCCCTACCCCAGCCTTACCTTTTCATGACCCTGTTCTGGGGGGGTGTTGCGGGGGTGCCAGGAACGGAACCGGAGTCCAGCGACCCGAAGATTCGGCGGGGGGGCTCAGGGAGCCGCGGGGTGTGTGTGTGGGGGGCCAGGCCCTGGGGCGGCGGCGGCGGCCGGGACCTCCTGCCCGTCCCTGGCTCCCTGGCTCCGGCTCTCTTCCTCGGTCCGTCCTGCCCTGCCTGTCCCCCAAGGTTGAGGCCACCCCGGCTAGGCGAGGACGCAGCTACACATGTTGCGCTGGAAGTTGGGCCCCGGACATTGCGGAGGCTGTCGGGGTGTCCTCTCGCCGCCCCGACCCCGTGGGGATCCCCCCTCCGCCCACCCGGGGTGCCCCCCTCTGCCGCTTCAGCCCCGGCTCCTCCCCCCCGTCCATGTGTCCGGTCCCGCCTCTCCCTGGCTCATTCGCAACCCCCCACTCTGTGCCCTCCGTGGCACCCCCCCAAGTCTGTGTCTGTCTGTCTGTCTGGGTCACCTCTGAAGCCGGTGGCCGGTGTGTGTGTTTGCGTAAGGGGCAGGCGGGAGACAGCCTGTCTGGGCGACTGCTTGCCCCTTCCTGCTTGGCCACCTCCCACCTCCAGACACCCCCCCCCCACGCCCCCACTCTCAAATACAGGCAGACACACACATATACACACACGCATACACGCACCACCTCACTTCCCTGGGATTCCCCTAAACACCCCCGGAGCTTGAGGAGGGAGACACACACATACCCACACACACACACACACACACACACACACACACACACACACACACTGGAGGGTCTGATGGGGCCAGGCTGCCACTGCCGTCAGGGGCTGTTCGGACAGACAGGAGGACACAGGCGGCCAGACGCCCGGCCGGACGCAGGCAGGAGGCACAGAGCCCAGGTACACACCATCCATCCGGGTTTGCGGGGGGGGGCNGCGGGGGGCGGGCAGTCGGGGACTCAGGACCGGGACCCGCGCTCCAGGGCCCAGGGGCTGCCCTCCCTCTGGCCCCTCCCCACGCTGAGGTTTGTGAAGCAGGAGGCCATCCCCAGACTTGAGTCTCTGTCACGCTAGGACCCATCTTTTGGCTTCGATTGCCCCGGGAGGCCAGGCCTGCAAGCAGGTCTCATGAAGCCAGGAATCCAGGCTCCCAGCCTCTGTCTTCCCCCAGGGACCAGAGAGTGAGGGGCTGTGAATAAATCTGAGGGGAAGGGGCGGGGGGGGGGGCAGTCGGGGACTCAGGACCGGGACCCGCGCTCCAGGGCCCAGGGGCTGCCCGCCCTCTGGCCCCTCCCCACGCTGAGGTTTGTGAAGCAGGAGGCCATCCCCAGACTTGAGTCTCTGTCACGCTAGGACCCATCTTTTGGCTTCGATTGCCCCGGGAGGCCAGGCCTGCAAGCAGGTCTCATGAAGCCAGGAATCCAGGCTCCCAGCCCCCTCCTCTCTCAGACCCAGAAATTCAAGTCCCCAGTCCCCCTTCCCATCCAGGACGCAGGAATCCAAGCCCCCGGTCCCCTCATTGCTCAGACCTAGGACACCAGGTATCCAGCCCCCCTCCTTCCTCAGTCCCAGGAGTCCAAGGCCCTGTCTCCCTTCTCCACCTGGGATCCAGTAATCAGAGCCCCCCTTCTCCAGGCCTGAGTCCCTTTTAGACCCTCAGACAAACTGACTCCTTAGCACAAACCACCCTCAGGTGCCCACGCGTCCAAGACTCGTGGACGTCACGCTCTCCTCTAGCACCCTATCCATCCTGCAATCTGAGGAAACTGATACCGCTGTACCCCTTCTGTTATTGATGGACCCTGACATCCATCACCCATGGTTATTCAGACATCCAGGAAGAAAGCACCATGTCCCCCCTCGTAGACGCAGCCTGTTCCCCCTCGCCCAGCGTCCCTCAAGACCAGTTGCCCAGCTCCTGCCCTTCCTGATAGGGAGGGAGGCTAGGCCCAGTGCTTCTGTAAAGGGCTGGGGTGGGGTGTGGCTCAGGACACCTGGGCTCCCATGAGTGTGTCTGTGTGCCTCTGGGGGGGCAGTTCCGGGGTGGGTGGGGAGGTGACCAGAGCCAGGGCTTCTGGCTACCAACTCCAGGGTCTCGGAGAGCAGGAGTGAAGGCTCATATTTCTGAAAAAGAAGAGACTGGGCGCCTGAATTTGTGGGTCCCAGAGGGAAGAAGGGATTGTGTATCTCGATTCCTGGGTCTAGGATACTTGGGACACAAAATCCTCGGGTGGGAGCCGAAGTCCCAAAGAAGTGGGGACTGAACTCTTCTTGGGTCAGAGGGAGGAGGGGCTGGCGGCTGGACTCCTGAGCCCAAGGGAGGAGGGTATTGAGGTCCTGGACTCCTGAGTATGATGGAGGAGGGGCCGGAGGCTGCCTTCTCTTCTCTCGGATAGATTGGAGCTGGAGGTCCCTGAAAAGCCAGCCTCTGGGTCTTTGTGTAGGATCTTGAAACCTCAGAGACCTGCCTCCCGAATCGCTGTCAAGGGCAGAATCTATGCGGTTGGGCTGCGACCTTTACAGAGGCGCAGACTGCCTGGGGGAACAGGCGCCCGGGTTTGGGAGTTTCGGGTCTCAACGACCCCGCAAGTTCCTAGGGGGCGACCTCGGTGGGGAACATTCTGCGCCCAACTCAGCAAGTGCGGAGAAGCGGGGGTAGGGGGCGCCAGAGGGCCGAGACTCCGGCCTCGGGGGCGGAGCCTCCCGCCCGGACTCCTCCCCCTCCCGCCCTCCTCGCTCTTCCTAGCTCCGGCTCGGCCACCAGCTCCGGCCTCGGCGCCCCCTTCCCAGAGCCCCCTCCCCGGAGCGGAGCCCACCCGAGGGCACCTCTCCCGCCCCCACCTGATAGCCCAGCCGCCCGGCCAGAGCAGCAGCCCCGGGGGGCAGCCCCTCTCCAGCCTCCCTCCAGCCCAGCCCCAGACACCCGCACACACAGATCCTCACCGGGCAGATGGCGGACACACGAGAGACCCCTGGGGGCCAGGCGGACCCACCCAGGCCGACACCCCCAAGTCAGGCACCGGTGGCCAGGAAGGCTGCAGGCGGGCGGAGGGCGGTGGCGGCGGCCAGGGCTTGGAGGAGCCGGAGCGGGAGGGACTCGCACACTCGCTGTGTTCTCACACACATAGACACACACACACACACACACACACACTCACTCGGGATGCGATTAACATTCAGTCCCCGTCCGCCCCTGCTGGGAGACCCACAGCCCCCCTTCTTGGGCTCCCTGGGGACCCCTCCTCCTGTCATGGCTGGGGGAGGGGGCCAGCCCCTTCCCCAGCTCCCAGCCTCTGTCTTCCCCCAGGGACCAGAGAGTGAGGGGCTGTGAATAAATCTGGGGAGAGGGGAAGGGGCGGGGGGCGGGCAGTCGGGGACTCAGGACCGGGACCCGCGCTCCAGGGCCCAGGGGCTGCCCTCCCTCTGGCCCCTCCCCACGCTGAGGTTTGTGAAGCAGGAGGCCATCCCCAGACTTGAGTCTCTGTCACGCTAGGACCCATCTTTTGGCTTCGATTGCCCCGGGAGGCCAGGCCTGCAAGCAGGTCTCATGAAGCCAGGAATCCAGGCTCCCAGCCCCCTCCTCTCTCAGACCCAGAAATTCAAGTCCCCAGTCCCCCTTCCCATCCAGGANAGCCCAGCCGCCCGGCCAGAACAGCAGCCCCGGGGGGCAGCCCCTCTCCAGCCTCCCTCCAGCCCAGCCCTGCCAGATCCCCCCAACCATGAATCTCTTCCGATTCTTGGGAGACCTCTCCCACCTCCTAGCCATCATCTTGCTACTGCTCAAAATCTGGAAGTCCCGCTCGTGTGCCGGTGAGACACCCACGGGGGCCGGAGGAAGGGGGAGAGTGCGGGGGACACCCCAAGACTCGGGGAGAGGGTTTGAGGCATAGGGGGACGGGTCCCCTTTCCCGTCCCTGCTTGCTGGGGGTCCCCCATCCAGGCCCAGGGTCACCAGGGGGTCAGCTCCTTTCCGCAAACTGGCGTTGCATTCAGTTTGATGGGGGTGGCTCCAGGCACCGAGTTCAGCCTCCCCCGGTCCCCATCAGGGTGGCCTCAGAGTTGCCGGAGCTGGGAACAGGGAGCTGTGGCAAGCAGGGAGGTGGCTGGAAGTTGGTGACGTGGACTGTGGCGGCCAGGAAGGGAGCGGGAGGCAGGCGACCTGTTCCGGAGGCCAGAGGTCAAGGGGGGGTTCCTCCCGTGGCCCCAGCTTGGATCTGGACTGCAGGAGGACCCTGAGGGTGTTGGGGGTGGCCTCGAGGCCTAGCCCGGGACACAGCCTCGGGCTGGAGTAGCTTTGGGGCCGGGCTGCCCCCTGGCTGTGGGCCGTGGGAAAGAGCCCTGTTCCAGCCGGCGGCTGGGGAGGCCTCCAGGGACAGCTGCCCTCCAGAGCTGCCTCCAGGCTTGTCCCAGGCCTTGGCCCCTGGTGTATTGACCCAGCGGCCCACCTCCAGCTTCCCCCCACCCCGCCTCTCTGCACCACAGGGATTTCAGGCAAGAGCCAGGTCCTGTTTGCTGTGGTGTTCACTGCCCGCTACCTGGATCTCTTCACCAACTACATCTCACTCTACAACACGTGCATGAAGGTAAAGGCCTCCTGAGGGGGAGCCACCGGGAGGGTCAGGGGAGGAGGGAACATGGGTCCCAGGCTTTAGGGAGGAGGGGGCTGGGGGTCCAGACTGCTGAATCTGAGGGGAGCAGTGACAGTGGCTGGGACTCCTGGGTCTGAGGGGCTGGGGGCCAGGACTCCTAGTCTGAAGGAGGAGGGGCTGGGGGTCTGGACCCCTGAGTCTGAGGGAGGAGGGGCTGGGGGCTGGACCCCTGGGTCTGAGGGAGGAGGGGCTGGGAGCCTGGACCCCTGGGTCTGAGGGAGGAGGGGCTGGGGACTGGACCCCTGGGTGTGAGGGAGGAGGGGCTGGGAGCCTGGACCCCTGGGTCTGAGGGAGGAGGGCCTGGGGTCTGGATCCTGGGTCTGAGGGAGGAGGGGCTGGGGGCTGGACCCCTGGGTCTGAGGGAGGAGGGGTTGGGGTCCGGACTCCACAGTCTAAGCTCTTGGGGGCTGGGGCCCTGTGCCTGGATCTGAAGCTTCCTCCTCATCCTCCCCCCACAGGTGGTCTACATCGCCTGCTCTTTCACCACAGTCTGGATGATTTACAGCAAGTTCAAAGCCACTTATGATGGGAACCACGACACGTTCCGAGTCGAGTTCCTCGTCATTCCCACAGCCATCCTGGCATTCTTGGTCAACCATGATTTTACCCCTCTGGAGGTAGGCCACCTGCAGGGTTCCGGCAGTGGTGTAGTGGGGTGGGCTGTGGGAGAACGGCTGTGGACGGTGGGCCCAGTCAGAGGCTTCCTTCTGCAGGGTTGCTCAGACTTCCTCCTTTTAGGAAATAACGTTCAAAATAGGGGCCCTGGAGTCGGATGACAGCAACGTCATGGCAGCAGCACTCATCAAGTACCAGACGCTGCTCTGAGCATGTCACACATGTCATCGCATTACTTTTCACAGCAGCCCCATTTTATAGATAGGAAACTGAGGCTCGGGGCGTCAAAATGACTTCCAAAATCATCGGCCTAGTGAATAGTTCAGGAGTTGGGAACAGGGGGTCTAGGGGGCCAGGCTCCTTGGATTTGGATCTGTTACTTTCTATTAGCATGACCTTGGGCATGGAACTTGACTTTTCTGTGCCTCAGTTTCCTTATCTGTAAAGTCAAGATCAGATCACTGTGAGGATTTCCTGAGAGAAGACAGCATCGCTTACACAGGGACTTTAGAACAAGAGAGCTGGGATTTGAAGCCCAGGGCTTCCCTGGTGGCTCAGATGGTAAAGAAGCTGCCTGCCTTGTGGGAGATCAGGGTTTGATCCCTGGGTGACCAGGGTTTGATCCCTGGGTAGGGAAGATCCTCTGGAAGA